CTTATAAATCCCAAAGTCCAGTTTGGAAAACACAGATTTTGCAGAACTAGAGAGGCCTAGAAGTGCTTTCAAAACTCTTTAACACAATGCAAACATTCTCCCTGGGTTGTCTTCGTGCAAATTGCAGTTGTATGCATGGCGTTCAGATTGCTCTTAGTTGGTTTGGGGATCAGCACAGGGAAGATGTGCTGTACCAGGCTTGGGGTGGGCGTGCACCCAGAGCCATGCAACAGGGACTGCCAAGGAGAAGACAGGCTGAGAGAGCTGGGGTTGTTCAGCCTGGAGAAGAGAAAGCTCCAGGAGAAGTTAGAGCAGGTTCCAGTGCTTAAAGGGAATGACAAGAAACCTGGAGAGGGACTTTTTATAAAGGCAGGGACAGGACAAGAGGGAATGGGTTTAAACTGACAGAGGGGAGACTGAGATGAGCTCTTAGGCAGAAGCTCACCCCTGTGAGGGTGCTGAGGCGCTGGCACAGGGTGCCCAAGAGAAGCTGTGGCTGCCCCATCCCTGGCAGTGCTCAAGGCCAGGTTGGATGGGGCTTGGAGCAACCTGCTATAGTGGAAGGTGTCCCTGCCTGTGGCAGGGGTAGGAACTGGATGAGCTTTAAGATCCTATGATTCTAATCACACAGTTATAACAACACAAGCTCTAGCCCAACGCTCTGTAGAGCCTGCGCTGGTAAAACTTTTTGCTACACTACAAGTTGAGTTGTGGAAATCTCTGCAGACCAGTGATGCCAACTCTTTTTACTCTTGACTCATATTTTTGGGATGCTTGAGATGGGCAACACCAGATCATGCGTATCCTTTCGGCTTTAGTCTGTTGGATATCTGGTCGGCAACACAAGCAGCAGTTGATCAAAGGATTTGGTTTTGCTCCCTCTCAAATTCATAGTGAATATAGAAGGTGTGTTGAATCATCTACCTGGTTTATAGATTAAATAAATGCTTCCCATTCATACACTCTAATTTCAATGGAAATAATGTGTGTAAAAATACCTCTTCTAAAACCTTTTATCTGATGCAAGAGACAGCTGCACAGGGATCACACACTGGGGGAAGAACGGCTTCAAACATGAACACCAGTCCCCAGAAACCAATGGTGTTAATGGAAAAAGCTTTTCAATAGGATTTGCAATTCAGATGAAAGTAATTTAAATAGCTCTTAAATCACAACCAGCTCTGGTGACACTTGGAGAAATGACTGCAATTTTCTCTCTTCCCAAGACCTTGCATGTGGGGCCAGTTCATGATGGGCAGCCGACTCTACAGCTTTGTGCCTGGGCTAATGTTCCACATTCTGGGAACATGAGGATGCTGAGGATGCAGTGTGGTCTTGCCTGTGATCTCTGCCCCCCACAGCTACTCCCCAGAGCTCAAGCCCAGGCATTTTGGGTGAGCTGTGTTGCAAACTGCAGGACGTGTCACCCATGCATGGTTTCCCATGGGACCTACAGTCCAAAGGAGCCACTGGGCAAACCCACCCTTGGCTATGCGATCTGCAATTCACCTGAATAATCCCTTCCTTCTCCAGTGCCACCCCAGCATTTTCTGCAGGCTTCCTGTTCTCTGGCAGGGCAATAAATATTATCAGCCCAGACAGCACGGAAGCAATGTCCTGGGGAGTATAGGTAGTGCTTTATGGTATGTTTACAAAAGGTAGTCAAAGAGATGACATCAGTGCGTACAGAAATACAACCGCTGTGCCAACACTGTGTGTGACTGGAGGCTATGGTCCTATCCCTATGGATGGGTTAAAATCACCGCAGGGGTAGCGAAGGGTGAGATTCAGTGCTTGGTTGTGTCTGGTTCACTGGTAAAATGACATTCATGTCAAAAAGGAGCTCTTTGTTCGAAGTAAAAGCATCAGTGAACTTCTTAGCACAAGGCATGTGAGTGAAGCTATAATAGATATTTGACTTCTTTATGTGGTAAAATATCTGGGGCATTATGTCTGGTCTAGTGTGAGGTTTCCATGCCCATGGCAGGGGTTGGAACTAGATGATCTTAAGGTCCTTTCCAACCCTAACTATTCTATGATTCTATAATAGGAGGTGTGTGTGTGAGAAAACTCTTCCTTTGTGGTTTCTACAGTACATATTTCTTACCACACCATTTGTAGTTATTGGGTGTTCTTGGCCTGTTGAAGTCAGTAGTTTTATCCCTAAGCTCTGCGTGAGAAGAGGTTGGATCCACCAGGACTGGCTCATGCTCTGTGTCTGCCAGCTTGTTTCTAGCCTTGCTCCCTCCTGCGATGCTTCCCTTCCCCTCTCAAGGCTGGGTGTCTCAGCAGTGTCATTGCCCCATCTGACCCTTATCTCACTCCTGGCTGCTGGACAGGCCGGTGTGAGGGCACGTTCCTGCTTCTCAGAGAACAACACATCCCCAGGACTGAGCCACAGGAACGTGCTTCCTGAGGAGCTTGGTGTTTGGAACGGCAGCCTGTGTCGGTAACACAACCCGGCTGTGATTACTGAAAGTGTTTTTCTCTGCCTCTGGGCTGGAGCAGGTAAAAGCGACTTAAAATCACGATTTAAAATATAAAAGCATAAGCAGAAAGAAATCCATCCTGGAAAAAGGAATACACCGGTTCAGCAGTGCCAGGCACCTGCATTTACTGAATGCTCATTTACAGACCAGTGAGCTGTCTCTTTAGGATGCCAGGCTGTGCGTGTTTCCTTCTATATGTTATCCCAGTCTGGAGAGGGGGTCTCTGGCTGCTCAGTACTGGTGGTTGCCCAGGGAGTCCTGCACATTTTAGGGATGCCTCCAGCATGGCCTGCACAACCCAGGGTGCTGCCCTGCATCCCTGCACCCTTCTGTTTGGCATCCGGTCCTTGGCTGTAGCATCCTCTTGCTGGCCAAGATCTGTAATTCTGAGCTGTGAATTCACATGCAGGAGGGTTTATCCCTGTGCCCACACTCTGCAGGCTGAGAACACAACCTCAGAGCCAACAAGTGCCTTAGCTGGGTGCAAGGAGCCACCTGAGCCCTGATGCAGCCCAAATTCAACCCTTTTCCAGTGTGTCCAGCTCTGAGGATGGCAGCCTCCATTCCTAAATAAGGTGCGGGGTAAGGGGGGAACTGCAGCCTGCCTGATGCTGAAGGATCAGCAGGACAGAATGGAGGAACCCATGGGATCTGCCTTGGTTTCCATTAGCTTGGTTTGCTGTGCTGCAGTTTTTTACTCATGTTGCTTGTAAAAGGAGAGTTTCTGAATGCTCCTCAGCATGAGAACAAAGCTACATAACTAAACAGTTCAGCAGAGTCTGTGGCTAACGTGCAGTTCTCTGGAGTGATCAATATTCCAATAAAAATACCGGGGGATACCATAAATATTGTAAGTGGCTCTAGATGGTTTCCAAGGGCTATGGCAGTTGTTTCTTGCATTCAGAGAGAAGAGAATGAGTAAAATCACAGTGAAGATCAACTTAAAATAAATAAAATAATAGGAAAAATAAAGCAAAAATATTTTCTTTCCTATTTTGAAAGCTCTGGGGGTGTTTTTGGCCAGCATGAAAGAAGACCATCTTATTTACCAGAACAGCAGAGTGAGGGCATCTGTGTGCACTTGCCCACAGGCTATATATGTATGTCTGGGGGGTGTTTTGCCCTGGTGCTTCGGCAAAATCTGCTCACAACACAAGGAAAACTTTGTTTATCTGACTGTTTGTGGCATTTGCAAATTCCAGACACAATGCCCAGGAATCTCTTTCCTTGGCCAAGCTACAGTTGTTTTCCCTGCCATAGGTGGGCAGAACTGCGGGATGGATTACCTGTATCATTGAAAACTTGGGAAGGTTGTTTAAAAGTTGTAACTGAGGCAAAATAAATATTTGCCAGGCGTGATCCCACCATGCAATGACAAGTAAGCTGTATGGAATGTCTTAATAAAATAGAAACGTTCTGAAAAGGAAACAAATGTTGTGGATGAGAAAACAGGGACAAAATGGACTTGCGGCACCTCCAAAGCCAACAATTGAAAACACATTTACGTGGACTGGGCTAAAGTCTCTTGTATCATCTGAGGGTTATAAATTGCAGTACATGCAGATTGCCCAGTAGAGTAGTGGGGTTTAAGGGAGCCATAAAAAGTCCAAATTGTGGTCCCGATATGATGAGATAATGTCCATCTTTTACTAACATGGAGATGTGGCACTTGGATGCTTAAGGAAGGGGGAGTCACCCGACTCACTGCAAGTGACCTATGCCATTACCTGGGACAGAAGCTTTGGTGCTGCCCAGTGCAGGAACCCAAGGTGACACCATGCCCTGCTGCAGGCTTGTGATCTCTTGTAGCCTATGGGAAACCTTCTCCCCAGCCATGAACTGCGCAGTTCTAGGGGATCTGCACAGCCTCCAGTAAAGGCTTTTGGTACATGAAGCACCAGGAGCCAGTGATGGAGCCCTGGTGGTGATGTTGGAACCTGATGATCTTAAGCCCTTTCCAACCCTAACTATTCTATGATTCTATGATTCTATGTTCTGGTGGTGGGGATGAGCTGCTGATGATGCCCCAGTGGTGGTTTCCATGGTGATGCCATGATGATGTCCTGGTGGTGATGTGTGGGGGTGACACCCTGACAGGTGGCTCTGAGGTGGTGCTGTGAGCACCTCAGGGAGACCACAACACCCCAGTTGCCACCTTGGGAAGATGCACACCCAGCAGCTCTCTTACAGGCCCTAGGACAGGTCTCCCTCTTGCACTGGCAGAAACACAAACCCCAGTGGGGGAAGGCTCAGGCACAAATCCACCTTCCTGTAGCTACTCCCTAGCCCCCACCACGGCAGAGGGCAGCAGGACTTATAGGGGAAGCACAAAGAGGGGTTCTGTAAGAGGCAACACTGAGGACAAGAAGCACGAGGAGCTGTGCTCGCAAGGACCGCTATATCGGGGCGCCGGCAGCCGTACAGGCTGTGGCGGGTGGAGCTTGCGCAGTTCGTCTCTTTCCGGCAAGGGCTGCCGAAGATTGCCGAAGCGCGGCGTGCATGCGCCCTGCGCGAAGGGGCCTTGTCATGGCGGCTGTCTCGGAGGGGGCTGACGGTGTGCGCTCTGCCGAGGCCGCGGACTCCGCGATGGATGAGACCGGGAACGCGAACGCTAACGGGGCCGGGGCTGCGGCCGCTGCAGTGGGCGAGCCTGAGGCCGAGGCGCCGCCGCTGCCGGGGCTGCAGTTGGTGCACCAGGGCGCCGAGGCGCGCGTTTACCGGGGGCTCTTCCTCGGGCGGGCGGCGGTGGCCAAGCTCCGCATCCCGAAGCGGTACCGGCACCCGGCGCTGGAGGAGCGGCTGAGCCGGCGGCGCATGGCGCAGGAGGCACGGTCGCTGCTGCGGTGCCGGCGGGCAGGTGGGCCCTGGGGCGGCGGGGCCGGGCCGGGCCGGGCCGGGGCGGTGTGAGGCGTGCAGCGAGGCTGCCGTGGTAGGACGGGGATTGCTGGTCCTCACGGCACTGGTCGGCCCTCAGAGCAAATAACACTTGATGGCCTTCCTGCTTCATCCTTAAGGATGCAGGGGGCTCATTCGCATCCTGCTCTGCTTTTTCAGAGTGCCCCCCTAAAACACAGCTTGTTCTCAGCCAGAAAGCCCCTGTGTGTGGTGTGCCAGGGAGGCCCACCCCAAGAGGTGCTGATCCTGTTGCCAACTCGAGCTGCCAACCAGCTTTAAGGCTGTTGATAACTAAAAGTGTTCTCAAGACTTCAGGGCATTTCAGCTTAAGTGTGTTGGTTGTGTTTTGTTGTTAAAGTTGGAAAATCCTGTAAATTAACTGCTAGCATTTCATTTGTTCTTTTAAATAGGGATTTCGGCTCCAGTGGTCTACTTTGTGGATTATGTCACCAACTGCATATATCTTGAAGATATTGTAGGCTCGATTACTGTTCAAGATCATATTAATTCTGTACAGCGGAGTGAGAATGATACCAGCAGCCTGCTTACCTTAGCAGAGAAGATGGGTGAGGTGTTAGCGAGAATGCACGATGAAGATCTTATACATGGGGATCTTACAACTTCCAATATACTCCTGCGGCCACCCGTGGAGAAGCTGGACTTGGTGCTGATAGACTTTGGACTCAGTTTTATTTCAGGACTGCCAGAAGATAAAGGAGTTGATTTGTACGTGCTGGAAAAAGCCTTTCTTAGCACACATCCAGATACTGAAACCTTATTTCAAGCTCTACTAAAGAGCTATGCAGCTGCATCAAAAAAATCTGGCCCTGTGATCAAGAAGCTGGATGAAGTACGACTAAGGGGAAGGAAGAGATCCATGGTTGGATAGAAGAGTGGGTGTAGGGATGGAGAAGTGTTACTACTTAGGTTCTGCAGATATGGTTATTTATATTTCCAGCTGGTTTTATTTCAGAGATCACTATTTTGATAACTGTGTCTTTAAATAAACACATTTGAGTGTGTTTATGTGTTATAAAGTAACCAAAGTAGTTGTGAGATGAGAGCACAGACAAGAGGGAAACAATTAAAGGCTGCTTCCTTCCTATATGGTCAGTGTTCTAAAAAGTAGTTTATAGTCATTCCTTTTCTCCGTGTGGTTAGAAATGGTCTTTCCCATCCTGTGGACTCTGGAGCTGTGGGAGGTGAGAAGGACCTGGGGATACCAAAGCACCTCCAAAAGGTAGCTGAGAAAAACAAATGTGCCATTTTTCCCAGAAAACATTACAACAAAATGTTTAAATCCATCATAAATGGCTCTACACATCCTGAAAAATTTGAGGAGGAGGGTACTCCATTACACAGGCAGTGCTGGAATACAGCGCAAAGCACAAGACAGGTTCGTTTTCTTCCATTTGTAATTTTTGGCTTTTTTTAACTTTCAGTCATCTCAATTTCCTTCAGCAAATATAAAAGTTGTTAATTAAGAACAGTTTTACGCTAAGAAATTTTCACTTTAAGCAAGAAGTCTGTTGTAAATGTCTATTTTTTTAGCTCCGTAAGAGGACTGCTCTGACTGCAATAGCCTGCCTAGGTAAGCAGTTCCAGAGGTGTGCAGTGACACTGGCTTTTGGTAACATTTTCTCTATATTACTCCATTTTCTGGATTTCTTTATGTAACACTGTGAATGTAAGATGCCCCAGAGGAAAAACTGAAAAATCCTAAGTTAGAAGTTGATCACTCCTCTGCATTACAAGCAGACTGGGTTGTGAGTTGTGTGTTGGCTGCGTGCGTGAGCTCTGTCTTTACTTGAGCTCATGGTTTGCAAGAAACAGTGAACTCCATGTGGGAGAAAACACTTGTGCAAAAGTGGGTTCAAGGCCTGCAGGAACCTCCTGCACCACAGCGTTCCTCTCCTCTCCGCAGCCACGGACGGGCCCCTTCCAGACTGCTCCATTCACCCGGATGGGAAAAGCTGTGAGAAGCAGGAGGGGACGGGGCAAGCGGGAGCCGTGTGCGGGGTTCTGGGTGCTGCGGGCGGAAGAGGAGCAAGGCCCCAGCCTGGGCAGCGCCGCGGGGCGGGCGGTGCCGAGAACCACGGGGCGCTGCGGCGGCACGGAGCTCGCTTTGTGCAGTGGCGCCGCTGCAGAGCGGTTGGCTCGCAGAGCGGAGGTCCCCGGTTCGCGGCCGCGCAAGTGTCCTAGCGCGCCGAGCTGCCCGTGCCTGGCGTGCATTCACCTCTTGCCAGAGAAGCCGCCTGAGCGAGTGCCCGGCCCCGACGTGGGGCCCCGGGTTCCACCGCCCAGCCACACCTTTGGCTGAGGCGCCCGAGCACCCCTGCCCGCTGCTCAGGGGTGTGTTTGGTTTTAATGCTTAGGTGTTCTGGAGATGCTCACCCTGTAGGGACCATGCCAGAGCCCAGGCTAGGGGAAAGAGGAAGGAGCAGTGGGTCTTTAGGAGCCGCTGCACGCGTTTCTGCCTGCTTGAAGAACAAATGCAATGGCCTGAGCAGCACATGGTCACTTAAAACAGTGCTCCCCGGGTGGCCTGTGGGCTGCTGGCACGGTTGGACCAGGTGGATATGGGCTAATGAGTCCCCTGACGAGGCCTGATCCGAGCCCTGAATCCCGGATGCACTGAGGGGAGGCAGCACGCCTGACCTCCCTTGCCTGCCATCCCCCATCTGTACAAACACCGCTTTCCCTGTCCCCCGGTGATGCCAGGATTGAGTTATGTTTGTAAAGCCCTTTGAAGAAGTCTGTTTCTAACTATCTTTATGTTTATTAAAATGCAGCTCTCCCTGTGGGACAGCCGAGTAGAAACAAAGCTGGTCAACTGTGAGTCTTTATGGCTGGTGAGGCTCTCTAAGGTGAAGCCCTGCTGCGCAGCTGGGGCTGGCAGCCTGCAGCGAGGGCAGCCCTCGGGGTACTGCTGCATGGGACCAGCCTTCTAGCAGGGGCTCCTGAACTGCCCTCTCCTAAATCTGCTCTGTGATGGAGCTTCAAAACAAAGCACGACATTTCTGGGAATGAAAAGCAAAATGTTTTGCTTTTCGCTGCATGATAAAGCTCCTCCTCGTTATATAAGTGTTGTTTTTTGCACATATGTGTTGAAAGCTTGTTGATGTTTCCTCTGGACGTGCCTGATGTGGCTGTGTGGATTGCTGTAGTGAATGCTGAGCTGTTGCTGTTTGAGAGTGGAAAAATCACAGCAGGTGCATGTCCAGCAAAGAGGACACTGTGGATCTGCACAGTATCCACTCCACGTATTGCAGCCTCAGCTCTATTGCTGGTTGTGCCTGTGGCAGCAGCTCCTTGGATGGAAACTGCTGATTTGTGTTCAAACTTAAACAGGGGATATTTAGGTTGGATATAAGGCAGAAGCTCTTCCCTGTGAGGGTGCTGAGGCACTGACCCAGGGTGCCCAGAGGAGCTGTGGCTGCCCCATCTCTGGCAGTGTTCAAGGCCAGGTTGGACACAGGGGCTTGGAGCAAGCTGCTCCAGTGGAAGGTGTCCCTGCCCGTGGCAGGGGTTGGAGCTGGGTGAGCTTTAGGTTCCCTTCTAACCCAAAACATTCTGGGATTCTATGATTCCCTGGCTGGTTTGCAAGGCAAGAAGAGTTTCCAGTCTTGGTTTGGCTGAGCATAGCTTGACTTGCTGCTCTGTTACCTTTTAGTGCATCTGTATGGTGATAAGCAACACTGAATTGTTGTTATTATTATTATTGCTATAATTTGCCATTACATTATTCTGTCAGAGTTTGGTCTGACTTTGTGAAAAGTCCTTGAAACTGGCAAGTCCAGTTTAGCTCTTTTGAGTTTAAAAACAAAACAATGAGGTAAAACAAAACCTACTCTTTTGAAATCGAAACAATAATCTTTGGAAAGAAGTAATTGATATTTTAGGCTAGAAAACTCAAACTTTTAACTCAGAGTGATTGTCTTTCTTGTTTTGCAATTCCACAGTGGGCCAAAGCAGCCCAGGGGTCAGCCCCACCCTCTTCAGCGTTCAGGTCTGGATACACAGCTCAGTGTGACACCATGAGAAGCAGTGATGTCCTGCCCCAGCTTACACGGAGGGTCTGTTCTCACCAGCCCCAAAGCTGTGTTGGCCTTCATCAAACCCTCTGGCCTCCCTCCCAGGAGGCACCCAGAGGCAGTGGAGATGTGCAGGGTGCTGGCTTATGTTGCACCCAACCACTGGGTGTCTCCCTGTCACCATCGCTAGCAGCCAAAAGCTTTATTTATATTTATTTATATATTTTATATATATATGTATTTATAATTAGGGAAACTGTTCTTTCAATAGTAAATATTTGTAACTGTGCTAAATGGACAGTTGATCACTCTGTGTCTTTATACTGCTGCAATATTCCCCCTTCTAAGCATGAACAGTTGTCTCAGGGGACCAACTCTAGGCCCTCCAGGAACAGCTTCATTTCCAAGCACTTCCCAGCCCCTGACCCATCTTGTTCCACATCTGGGTATCACTCAAAGTGTCATGACCATAAGGAGTGTGCAAATAAGCTGTGGAAAAAGGAATAAAAGGAAAGGGGAAAAGACAAATGAAATGGAAATAGAGGCATTCCATTGGCAGAAGGTGCAGCATCAGGATTTCCAAGGGAATCACTGGTTGTTGGTGGAGTTGCCTTTTTTGCTAATGTTGGTGTCTGGCCATCAGCAGTGATTTCTCTTGTGGCAGTGGGGAGCCAGCTTGTGAGCTGGGGGTTACCAGCCTGACTCTAGTTTGTGGTAATAATGGCAAGTTCTGGTTTGCTCACTGATGCCATAAGTAAAGAACTGAAATTTCTGGAGATAGCTGTGAGTTGTGAGACCTTAGGAGCAGTAAGAGGAAAACAGATGTGAAAGAAAACACATACAAGTACAGCAAGAAATGGGAATGAAAATGCAGTTGCATCATCTGGGTATGCTGTTACCATGACTTTTGGACAGTGGCTGATCTGTGCCGGCAGTTGCTGTGTGTATATGTAAACACTGTGCATACAACCTATATGGTATAGCTTTTCCAAGTGAACTTTTCAGTCTAGGCCTTGATGTCTGCAGGAAATTGATATTTTCCAGTCTGCAAGATGCAAAACACTGATAACCTTTCGTAACCCCCCTCTCCCATCGGTGCTGATAGGAAACCGAGTTAGTGCAATAAAGGCATAAAAGCTCATTTGTAACCCAGAGTTCACTACAGAGTTCACTACACAGAGGTCACTACAGATAAATAAAGCCCCTCCCTGGCCCAAGCTCAAGCTGTGGTCCTCTTGGGCACTACGCAGCACCCCTTTCTTTTGGAACAACCTAAACTTTTCTGTAGTTAACAGAGAGGAATGGCCAGGAGTAGCATGAGGTCTGATCCCAGTGATGGCCATGGATTACAGGGAGGGTACAGCCAGGGCTGCTGCTGCAGGCACGGATAATGGGGGTGGTAGAGATTAAGTTTTCAGGGAAACAACTTAATTAAACATTAATTCTCATCTAAAGTCCTGTAAGGGCGAGTGAACGAGCATGTAGCCCCCACACAATGCACTTAGCTGGGAGCAGAGAGGGGCTGGGTGGGATCTGTCACAGCAGGGACGTGACTCACATCTCGGAGGGGGAAATGTGCTCCTGATCCCCTCACCTTCCGCACCATCAGAAGTTTGTATCTTTGTAAGAGAAAGAACAGACTGTGCTATTGATGGTTTATTATTCCTTTGAAGCTTTTTTTAACTTACAAGGTCGATTTTGAGAGAAAAAGCTTTGTAGAGCTCCTTTGGCCCAGCACGTGGCATGCACACTCCCAGTCTCTGGCTGGTGGCTATACTGGATAAAATAAACGTGGTTTAAGCAGTTGTATTGTTTTGATGGCCTGAGACTTGCTTTCAGGTCTTCATCCTGTGCCCATCCTTTCCATCACACACCGCTACCTGAGTAAGAAAGCAGTTTATGCTGTCATAGCCCTCTGTAGTGGCATTAAGGCAGCAGAGGAATCTCTCACTCATTTTTTTAATCATCATTAACATTTTGTTCATGT